CGCCCCCCCACAGGTGGGCCAGCCACAGCTTCTCTGGGCAACCTGTCCCAGTGCCTCGCCACCCTCACCATAAAGAATTTCTTCCCTATGTCCAGTCTAAACCTACCCTCTTTCAGTTTAAAACCACTGCCCCTTGTCCTGTCACTACAGGTCCTGTAAAAAGTCTGCCACCATCTTTCTTATAAGCCCCCTTTAAGTACTGAGAGGCTGCAATAAGGTCTCCCCGAAGCCTTCTCTTCTCCAGGCTGAACAACCCCAACTCTCTCAGCCTTCCCTCATAGGAGAGATGTTCCATCCCCCTGATCATTTTCATGTCCCTCTTCTGGACCCGCTCCAACAGGTCCATGTCTTTCTTATGCTGAGGACCCCAGAGCTGGACGCAGTGCTCCAGGTGGGGTCTCACCAGAGCAGAGTAGAGGGGCAGAATCCCCTCCCTCGACCTGCTGGCCACGCTGCTTGTGATGCAGCCCAGGATACGGTTGGCCTTCTGGGCTGCGAGTGCACATTGCTGGCTCACGTCCAGCTTTTCATCCATCTGTCCATCCATCCCATGTCCTTCTCTGCAGGGCTGCTCTCAATCCACTCATCCCACAGTCTGTATTGATATTGAGGATTGCCCTGACTCAGGTGCACTTGGCCTTGTTGAACTTCATGAGGTTTATGAATTTCATGAGGATCCTCGCTGCTGTCATTCCCTGGGGGTGTGTCGGTACATGGAGACAGCACTGTGCCTGTGCTGTGAAGGAGGCCAGCTGCACTTAGTGTATGAGCAAGCAGGTAGCCAGCAGTTTGAGGGAGACAGTTATTCCCCTCTGGTCAGCACTTGTAAGACTTTGGAGCACTGAGTCCAGTCCTGGGCTCCCCTGGACAAAAAAGAGCATCGGTGTTTTGGAGCAGGACCGCCAAGCTGGTCTGGGGCTGGAGCGTGTGATGTGTGAGGACAGGCTGAGAGCTGGATGTCTTCAGCCTTAAGAGTAGGAGACAACCATGTATTACTGTTTGGAGGTAGGGGTAGAGAAGATGGAGCCAGAGTCTTCTTGGAGGTGCATAACGAAAGGGCAAGGGACATCTTTTCTTTTTCACCGTGAGAATGGTCAAACATGGGAATGGGCCCAGAGAGGTTGTGGGCCAGTTCCTAGGCACTGTTTAATTTATTAGAGTAGATGCTGCATCTCCTCAAATGTGAGCAGAGAATCTCTCTTTGCTCGTCAGGTCTCTGTGCACTGTGCAAAAGTATTCTTATAGGAAGTATTCTGTGTTCTGCTGAATGCTAACTGTCCAAATGCCTGTTCCAGGGAAAGCATGCGTGTCTGAAACAGACCTTGGTGAGTATAGAAACAAGCAAAGATACATATGACTATGTACCACACACTTTATTTATGTCTGTGCAGAAACACACAGGCATGGGCACACATAGGTAAGTCTTTGGGGCTGCTGTGTTGAAGAAAAGCCTACTCAACAAGGTGGAGTAATTACACCTTGATCCCGCTTCAGGTTGGAGCAAAAGTGCTCCTGCAGGCTTGCTGTTCTGCAGGTCTCTTCAGATGAGAGGGGTCTGAGCGCATGGTTTGATGTACTTGGTGCCAGGTGCTGATGTGTCGTTAGATTGTTCCCTGCCTCTACTTTAAAAAACACTCATCTGTGTTTTTTGTCTCCTCACAGCTTGAAAGTTAGATTATACTGCTCGCCGGTAACTAAGGAATTGCTGTTGACTAGCTGGAAATACAAGTTTTGGGAGAATCACATTGTGAGTTTTCATTTATTTTTAAATTAACACTTTCCAAGCAGTGATCCTAGGGAAGAGGCGGCTTTCCATCCTCAGAAATGTCTACATGTTGGTGTTGATACAGTGTTTCAGAGCTTAAGTACCTACATCAGTATGCCTTTCCTTGCTGCTTGCTGTGGGATTGTTTTATTGTTCCTTACTGGTTAATCTTATTTCCCTCCACAAAATTTATCCTTTTCTCTCAACTTCAGCTTTAAACGTCCTCCATCTGTGCAACTCTGTCTTGATTATTTCTATCGCTCCTTCATTTCCTTACCTTGCCCGTGTCTCTCTGCTCCTGTCCTTATTTCATTTCCCTTTTGCTTCATTTAAAGTCTTGTATTGCTTGGAGTATGTATAATCTTTTAGTTATATTATTTTCCTTTTGCTTTTTGGAAAATGGACTATCTCTAACATGAAAATGTTTTAGTGATGTGAAATCACCAAAGAACTTAATTAGTTTACTTGATTTCCACTATTTGGAGGCAAAATTCAAGTGATCAGTGGACATGTATGGGTATGACTTGTAGTTTTTTATTTCCTTCCCTTTGCAGATGCAAGCTTTGAAATTGAACATGTTTCTTTTCACATCTTACTGTGTGTACATACATCATCACATAGTGTAAGGATTTTGCTATATCCCCCAAGCAAGGACAGGAGAGTTTTCTAGTCAAGTGGAAGGTCAAGGAGGACTTCAGGCAAGCTGAAATTTGTTTCCTTGGGGGAGTTATGCTCAGAGTTTCCTTAAACAGGTTGTAAGAGTGGGTCTTAAGTTCCATATCCAAAGAAATTCATATGAGTGGGACCTAGGAGGTGAGTCTGGGTAAGAGAAAAAAGAGAAGTAGGGAACTTTTCTGTTCAAGGTCCTAGTTTAATTGTGAAGCTGAGGGAGAAGATAACTAGCTTTATATCAAGCCTCGAGAAACGGAAAGATTTAATGATTTGGAGCATGAACATGATTCAGGGCTCTGTAAAAAGGGCTCTGTAAAAAAGACTCTGAACATCCCTTAGGCATGTTTGATGTGTGAAGGAGCACAGTGTGCATAGGTGACTATTTTTCTAAGCCTGTAATCTTCTTGGACTAGCAAAAATAAAATGGGGTGGGTTTGTGGTGGCTCTTTTGTTGGTGTTGGTTGGATTTTTTTATTTTTGTTTTCAAGCTTGTGTGCGTTTGCTTCCAGTATCCCTTGAGTTTAACCTAGAAGAAGAGGTCTCTTGCGGGGAGATACCTGTAAGCTATTAGGAGTTTGTATGAGCAGAAAAAGGAAAGCAGGCAGTGCTGCAGACATCCCTGTTTGAGAAGATCTTAATCGGGGAAGAAATGCCAGAGGTACCCATGGTACAGTCTGAGATGAAGCACAATTAACACAAATCAACACAATTTAAAAAATACATAGATGTTTGCAGCTGCTGCTCCCAGGAGTGACTGCTGGTAATGGCATGAGCTGCACAGTCCTTAAATCAGATAGTAGCCGTTGGATGTCTTGTTCACAAGCTTTGTCTTACAATAAATAAGCTTTCTACTTGTAGCGTGACTGGGAAATGAATTAACAGCTGATTTGATATTCACCAGACTGAAAGAAGCAATCACGATGTCAGCTTCCAGACAAATGTTTTTATGATTTGCAGTCTGACCTTTATTTGTACGTACGGCATGAGAGGCACTTTAAATCTGCTGCTGGATTTAACATGTAAACTATCAAAGATGAGGGGAGAACTCTGCTGGAGATATTATCATTTATGCTTATGAAGCTAACCGGTGGTTGCCAGTAAAGAATTCTTCAGGCAGTTTAGATCTAAAACTTGACAATTGTTTCACTGCAGTAGGAAATTTGAGAATTACTGAGAAATATTGAGCATGCAGAATTTAGATCAGCCTCGAGTTTATTCAGCTTCAGAAATTGTAGATGATAAAACTAGTATTGACGTTTAAAAAATCAACTCTTGCTAGTGGCTTGAATTCTTAGGATAAAATACTTTTTGACACATGTATCTGTGTTTTGGAGCAAGCTCTGAGTTTGATTGGTGTTGTGGTTTCTGCTGGAGAAGCCAAATGTTACGATCTTTGTGCGAGTAGCAGGTGAATGGATCTTATGGAGCTGCCCAGAAATTTGCGATGCAGTGTCTTGTGAATCCATAGGGAAAACCCAGTGTGCTGAGGATACAGCTCAGCTGAGAAGCTGGAGGTTATACCTAAGGAGGGTAATGACAGGAGACTTTCCTTTCACTTTGGCTTTTTTGGACAGGAGAATTATATACAAATATTGTCTGCTGGTGACAGATGGAGTTCAGCTGTCTCACAGGGGGAAAAGGATCACTGCTTGTGAATTGGCGGGGCTCATTGAGAGGGCTTTAAACTGGGTTCGAAGGGGGAAGGGGATAAAACCAGGCTCACTAGAGATGAGCCTAGGGGTGGCATGCCAATGCCGGGGGCGAAATCGATAGCCCAGCTCAAGTGCATCTCCACCAATGCACGCAGCATGGGCGGCAAGCAGGAGGAGCTGGCAGCCATTGTGCAGCGGGAGAGATATGACTTAGTC